CAAAATACGTTTCGGTGTATTTTTCCACCATCATCAGTTTTTATGTGTAGCGTTGTTGCTGCTTTAAGCCTTGGCATGCATTTGGAGTATTAATTATGTCCATCATCGGACACAAAGCGAATAAAATAAAAATTATGTTAAGTTTTCCAGTCCATTGAATCCGAATTGTATCAAGATGCAGAACAAAAAGAAACAGCGTAATTACTTTTTTGATAAATTTACTTATTAAAATCATTAGTAAATATTTGGTACTTACAGTTAATTGAAATCGACGCGAATGCACGAACCAGTCTCTGGATTGCAGTGCGGTACCTACTGAATTCGTAATGCGAAGCTTACAAAGATACATATGCCTCAAATAAAACAACTTCAAGTAACGATTCAGTGGTTTGTTTTCGTTTTTCCCGATGGAATTGATTAGATAAAGTGATCCAGACATTTTATGGGTATTATTCCACTGATATAAGATGGTGAACTGAATTATTCCAATGGCCTTGAAAATTGAAAATTAGATAGCAAAAACAAACTCAACAAAAGTGTTGAGAGAGAAAATGTAAGTTAGCCAGAGCTCGAGTGTAAACACCGCCGATTTTTGGGATTGTTTTCAAGCACTTAACAGAGAAAACTTGATATAGGTAATAGTCATGCGATACTCAGCGATAGTCAGAAATAATGACTTTCTTGAACGTAGATAAACCTGAACCATTAAGGATTATAAGGTGACTACTTATTAAAATACGTTTATTTTTGTTAAAACAAGAAGAACGTTTCTGCTAATGTGTTGGTTTTGTTTCGATAAGTACTCAACCTAAGATAGAACATATTAGACTTTTGAGATAATTGTGTTAAATAAATRCCCCCCAGTCAATAAAGACAAGTGGAACTATATTGATATCAGGGTAGRTATATTAATTACCATAATTAAAATGTTTCCACCTAAATTGACAAGGAATTTAAAATGTTTTCGTTTTAGATGCCGGGTGGACTTGTTKGTAGTGTGTCCATATGTATGTAACAATAATTCAAAAAAGCCAAGGAGAATGTAGAGAAATGTTCTTATTTTTCTTTTCCAAAGCATCTTAAAGTTTGAAAAGAATGTATAAGAAAATATTATCGCATATATCTTATGGCGATACTACAGTAGGTACCTAGTTTTTGATATGCGAGACTTAGGAGGATACCGTTACCTTATATACCGGCAATTATACATTTACATTTTTAGCTGTCCCTTCATTATACGTGTTGGCTGATCTAGATCTATGAAAACACAGCAATGAAAGTGAAAGGGCGAAGACATGAAAAGAAGGTAAGCAGATAAAAGAAAGGCGTCTGCCGACTGTTTACGCAAAAACAAAACAAAAAATTAAGAAAACTTGTTTGGCGCTGCTGTTGAGCAATTTGCCAGCTCAACAGTTATGAGTTTTCTGTGTTAAAACTATTGTATAATTCAGTGGCTTCCATCGCTGAAATCATCGCTTTCGAATAATTCGAATTAATTACAACTAGCGAATAATTCAATAATTTTCATCACCGAATAAAACATTGCTATAGCATAATTCGAATGAACTACAACTATCGAATAATTCGATAATTCCCGTCGCTAGAAAATACCGCCGTTTTTCGGCAATGTGTTTACACAATTCCTAATTCGGGGCTCTTGAGTTCAACACTTGAAAGAGCAAACATGACCGTTAATCCGAAACGTTGACTTCTGTGTCCTTAGAATAACACTAAGCATGCAGGCGTCATAGAATAAAAGCTCTAACGCGTGTCAAATTTGCAAAAATATTAAATTTATCAAGAAATTTGTGAGAACGACGAATGCGCCACTAATTGCTTATCCCAATCCCAATAATCGCGCATAGCCACAACTTACCTCTAGTACGTTTATCCGGTTTTTACTACTAATCAAGCAGTTTATCTCTGAAAAACCGCTACGGCTTGAACCTTTCTGAGGTTTTCAAAAACGTTGAATAAAGTATCCAATTTCTCACAAAACCGAATGCGCCAACTGCAGCTTTAATCTAAGCCAATAGGCGTCTGTTTTTTATACATAATATACAGAAAATACTATTGAGTCAAGACTATAGACAAGTTTTGCAGAACTGTGCTGATTCTCGTGGCTGTTTTCCACTACTTGAAAAAAAAACGTGCTTGATAATCACAAATATGAACCTCCAAGAGCGCAGATTAACAGGAAATTTGCAGGTTTACTCCATTAAAAGCTCTAATCTCTAATTATAATATTATTTTCAAAAACACTGATCAAAACCATTAAATTGCTCATAAATGTTCGGCCAGGGTTTAGTTTTTTATTGGAAAATGCACAAAAATGTTATTGAGTCGAGTGTCTCCATAGCTATGTATTTTCCGATTGCTGCTCGTTGGGGCTGTTTTTCAGCACTGGAAAAAAAACGATGTGATCGATATGCACAAAAATTGACTTTCAGTAGCTAGCCGGAAAATTCTAACTATTTGAAAAATTGCTAAAACATTGCGCAAAACTGCAATTCCGGATGAAGACGAATGCGCCACTAAAAACCGATTGTCTTCCTAACTCGGCTCTAAATTCAACCAACTCAACATTGGCGCTTATTCAAGTAACATGAACGGGTAGTTTACTCTGAAAAGGCGTCAGCGCTTCAAATATTTGCAAAAATGTTAAATTGAATATCCGATTTCTGACAAAGGCCAATGCGCGAATAGAAGCCATTGGTTTGACAAATATTCAAGGACCTTCAAGAGCGTAGATCAACATGAAACATGCAGGTTTTTTTTTGGATTAAATGCTCCGATGCTTTTATTATTTGCGAAGACGAGAACGAAATATTTTGTATTCTTGACAAAGGCTTTTTTTGACGCTGTTTATAAGGACTGGAAAAAAGATAATCCATAGTTATAAAAATGGACTTCCAGATGTAAGCAGGAAAGCTCTAACGTTTTCAAAATTTGCGAAAACAGTATAGAAGAAATACAATTCCTGACTGAGGCGTAGGCGCGTCTAAAAACCTTCGCAAATCGGACCCAAATTAATTCAAACAAATAATTGCGCAAAGCCAGAACCATTACCCCAGTAATTTAGTAGGACCTAAACGAAATGTGCATTTTACTCCGAAAAAGCCTTTGGGTGCAACGCTTTTCGTATTGGCAAAAACGTGGAATAAAAAAAACAATTTCTAACAAAGGCCAACGCGCCGATTGAAGCCATTTTAACGTAAGTGTAGTCCAATCCTAATTTAGCCAGGCCAATAAGTGTCTGCTTTTTTGGATAATACATGAAATTCCTCGTTATTGTGATATTCCGCTGATTCTGGGGGCTGTTTTCAAGTACTTGAAAAAGAAGCGTGATCGATAATCACAAATAAGAACTTCCAGAAGCGTCGATTATCATAAAACTTGCAGGTTGTTTTGATTGAAAGTTTGAGCTTTGATCATTTGAGAAAACAATAAATAAAAATATCATGTTCCTTTTAAAGACACAGTAAACGTCTGGGGTTTTTAATGGAAAATACACAAACAGACTATTGAGCCGAGTGTACACACAGACACTTTTCGGGATTGTGTTGACTCTACTGTTTTTAATCACTTGACAAAAAGTGATCGGTAATCATAAAAAATGGACTTCTAGGAGCAGGAAAAGTCTAACGCTTGTAAAATGTAAAAACGCGATAACGATGAATGAAAAATGCAATTCCTGATTAAGGCAAATGCACGCCTAAAAACCTTCGAAAATCGGACCCAAATTAGTTAACAGAACACTAGAGATGAGCTAAAGCGTGATTTTAAAATCACTGTTATAAGTGTAAAAGCGATTTTTTTTACTGTGAATTTAACCTGATTATTTCACTTGTGGTTGCCGTTTTCTTGATAGAGCAGCGTCATAAGATGATCGGCAATTGTACGTCACTTGCAGAAACAATTTTGAAACATTTCTAATTCATGTTTTTTAAAGAAATGACTTTATTTAGGAATACAACTAATATTATTTTATACTTAAAATACAAATGACTTTAAGGACAATAAAAAATAACAGACACTGCAACTAGCAACCGGCTACACATTTGGTAAGCCCATGTACTTTAAAAGTTCTAAAAACATTCTTGAAAATAATTAAATAGGAACAAAAACATATTGTTTTACACATAACGAATAGCGTTTGTAGCTCTTAATTCTTTCTGAACAAGTTTTATTTGATTTTAGTTGTTGATCTGAAAAAACTTTGTTTGAGTCAAAATAGGTTCAAAAATATTACTTCACTACTCTTCGCGAAAATTTTCAGAATTTATTGATATTGTGGAATGTGCAATCCATGCGCCGTTTCAAATTCGACTTACTTGTTCAAGGTATCTCACTAAAAATAGCAAAATTTTACGCACTTCGCGGAAAAAAATTTAGGTCGGTAGGGTAGAGCATATCCGATTAATTAGTGTTGTTAATTTTTAGAATTGGGGCTTTTTCATTTCTGTATTAATGACTGTCTTCAAACGTGAATTTCGCTTTAATCCAGACATATTTATGTAAAATATTCTCTGAAATTGCCTCATTTAAATTAATTAAATCAAATTAACATTAATTATCAAGAGCATTTTTAAATAGTCTATTTTGGCCCTCGCGTATTCAAAATACCCAAACATCCCACTCAACATGCGCAAACTACCTCAATTATCTTCTTAAAGATACCGGTTCTTTACCTTCTGATGGGTTTCGGTTAGAGAACCAGATTTGAGGTCTCATAGAGTAAATGTCAAAATTTCAGAATTGAAAAACATGCAGGTTGTTTCCCGGCCAAATACCGAATTTATTCAATAAATGCGTTGATTTTTTGTTGAAATACAAAGTCGATTTGAGGAATGTCTCCTAGAGAGCGACTGCCACTCCCATTTCGTAAACAATGGACTGAAGATGTACCCAAAGAAAGGGGTCCAAGGGTGTTCAATCCTGTGATCTTGGAGGATATTGAATTGGTTCCCTACTGCCAATCGATCTATCCAGGAATATCTAATCAATGCTAAGGAGAGTTCGAAAACAGACTTTATTATTGTTTTCATTTTGAACAACTTATAAGAGCCCATGAGTTTCATTGTAAAATAATCAATGAATCTGGAATCAATTGTTTCAACTAGATTTTCTTGCTGTTATTTTTAACGGCGTAACCGAATTCTGATCATTTGTACTATAAGGAGACCTAATGACATAATTTTTGTTTAAACACTATTCTGAAAAACAAAATCTTAATGCAGGCAAGTTTAATTATTTCTGTAATTTTGAAAGCCGATTTTTCGGAAACCTCTGGACTAAAGGCAACCTAGTGGTAACTAGTGTAAAGAGAATTGAACGCTCTTTAACACTATGTGCCACTTGAGCCCCCTTCCGATTTAAGATTCTCAGATCTACCTCTCCTAAGGGGTTGAAACAAAGAGGCTAAAAATATTAATTTAAAGTGTCCCCCTGACAAATAACATTGGCGGGTCTTTCCGATTTTTCACATTTTTAACTGCAAGAAAGATATTAAGGGTAGGAAATTTTCAAATTGATACCCTGTATAATACTAGTCATCCTCTGAGAAGTTTCTGGCTGACATCGCATTTGTAATCAATCATCTCTTGTCATCGTTGCTGGCCGCCTTCCTCATCTTTTCTCTTTGGAGATACACAACTCCCATATTTTTCTTGGCAGTCTTTCTTGCCGACTTCTGCTCCGATTGTCCCTTTTACTTCCATTTGTTCTTTTATGTCCTCATTTTTCATCCGAGATTCTCCCACCGCTCTTCTCCTAAACTCCATTTCAACTACTAGTAAAGTGTCTTTAAGTCGTTGTGCTAATTGCCACACCTCTAAGCCATTGATAACAACTGGATTCATTATGTTATCATATATTCTTGAATTTGTTTCTCTTGTTTTCTTATGTTCATCTGCCATAATATTGGCAGTAGTTTTCTTTGGATTATTTTGTTCTTGATAGCATCCTCAGTTCGTCCTATCTCCGTCATTTTAATTCCTGTACAGTGTGGGCCAACGAAAAGGTCGCACACCTATTTATGAGTCTCCTGATAGATTTAGAAAAAAAAGCTCAAACATGTTAACTTTGTTTTTAAGGAGACGTTTTGCTGACCATCACTGCATTATAGGGTGTTTCATAAGCAAGATACTACGTCGCACAACAACATACAAAGTGAAGATGTTTGGCGTTATGGTAACCGTCGTTTTCTATTATTTTCTTAAGTATTGGATCTACTGTATTTTCCAGCATCTCCAGGTAACTCGTCCGTCAAGTCTCCATAAGTAAAAAGAGGTCCTACAATATGATTTTCTAATATACCTGCCCAAACGTTTAACTTTCGGGGATGTTGAACATCGACTTCTCTAAAT